ACTGTCTTGAGCCTAAGCTCGTCATTGAGTTGGGCTAGCCTATCCACTTGGGATTCCAGAATTTGCGCTTGCAGTACCAGGTGGCTTCTTTCGTCTCCCTCTTTGATGTCCTCCTCACCGCTTGCTTCTTTTCCCTTGATCTCTTCCTTTTTCCCAGTCTGGTCTTTCTGCTTCTTCCCTTCCTTGTTTTGGGAACCCTTTTGGGTTTCTTCCTTCTTCTTGTTGTTATAAGTTCCGGGTAGCGTTGGCATTTTGTATCTGTCGTTTCTCCAGTTGCTCTCCTTCTTCGTGCCTGGTTCCTTGTCCTTCAGGGTTTGTTCCTTTTTGGTTCTGCAGTACTGTTCCGCGTAGTATGCTGTTAGTTCCTCCTCTTTCTCCAGTGGAGCATATGGGTTGATTGATAGGGGAAAGGAGTGCGTGGGGTCACCTGCTCCTGCCTTTTGCCTGAGTTTTTCCTCCTCTCTGAAATATGCCATTTGCAGTTCAAATCTTGCTTCCCTTTCCTTTCCTGCTTTTTGTATGTAAAGCTTTACCTCTTTGAATGAATGATCAGCCCATGGTTCGTGTTCCTCTTCGCTGAAGAGTTCCCCTTCTTCTCTGATCTCCTCCTCCTTCCGTTTGGACCCTCTTGGTTGTGATCCCCTTACCTTCCCCTGGATTCTTTCGTTTCTCGCCCACGTTCACTTTGCCATCCTCCTCCGTTTCCTGTCGGCCATCTTGACCGTCTCCCTGTCCCGTTGCAGCGCTGTCCATTTCCATCTCTGATGTGTCTTCTTGCTGCTGGGATTGGTTTGTTATTGTTCCTCTTCTTGCGTATGTTGACAGTACCCTGCTTTCATCCATTTTTATTTCCATTTCCCTTTCCGGTCTTCTCTTTCCCCTCTCTTGCCATTCTTTCTTCGCCATCTCCCCAGTTTCATTCAGGTCTGTGATCAGATCTTTGAGGCAACCCTCTTCTTGCATTCTTTCCAGATTCAAAACTGGATCCCTGGTGAAAATTTTTGCAGATTTCTTTTCTAGCTTCATTGTGTGCCATCTGCTGTCCGATGGGGGGTAGACATCTGGCCTTGGGGTTGGTTCTCCCTCCAATACCCAGACCCAGTCTGGGTTTGGAAGGTTGTCATTGAAAACCCACCCGATGTACTGGGTGTCCCTTACGTACCAGTAACCTGGTTCCCCTTCCACGTCCAACAGGCTTGTTTGTCTCAGGTCTTTGGGTTTAGCTGTCTCCACGTTTTTCGGACATCTCGGATCAGTTCCCAAATGTCCTCGTTGTCTGCATTTGAAACATAATGGGTTGCTTTTGGAAGAGACTGTCACTTTGATTGTTCTGTCTCTCACTACGAAGAACCAGTAGTCCGGTAGCTGCGGCGGGATTCCGTTACCCAAATCCAGACACACCGTCATTGTGTTGTGCTGTGGGACCAGAAAGTCAGGTGTTGCTATGATCCAGTCCACTACCTTGAATTGACCGTATTCCAACTGGAGTCTTTGTTTGATTCCCCCTTGCAAGCCTTCCAGCACGTTATCGAACTGGATCCAGAAGTACGTTTTCATCAAGGATTGTCTGAAGCGGGAAGGAGTCATCTGGAAAGGGGTGTCCGGTTTCCAGGGGTGGACTGTGACTATTGAGGAATTGCATGTGAAGGTTTTGTTTCTCAGGAAATCGGCGTAAGTTGGATCCCTTCATATAACCATGATCACGTTTCTGGTCCGTGGATGAAAAGAGACTTTTGGCTCGGTTCCCTGAATGGATTCCAGGCTTTTCAGCTTCTCCCACATCCATTTGAGCTTGGCCGGGCGGTTTAGCTCCTGGCTCTTTCGGGAGAAGGTGAAGAGAACTGCATGCCTTTCATGGAATTCATCTAGTTTTGGAATTTGCTCTTTCGGGTATTCATATACCACCACCTCTTCCTTTTTGTTTTCTTCCACTTCGACCAGTCTGATCGTTTTCACCAACTCCGTTTTTGTTTGTTCAGCCAGCCAATTCTGGGTTTCGATCCCCATTCCCTCCATCTTGTTCCCGTTTCTGTGTTGTGGTGTTTGCTGCTTGATGAGGTTCTGCTTCTGTCTTCAGAAAAGCGAGAGGCAACGACTCGATTGCCGTGAGATTCTTTTATCAATTCCTGATCTGAAAAGGAGTTTTGGTGGGACTGTCGGTCTCTCAGCCGATAATGTTGAGGAAAGTACTCTCGTTATCCCTGTTTTCTGGCAGACACGGTCCTTCCCTCCCCCTGCCCGTGCTTATCTCGATACTGTTGTGTTGGCAAATTTGGCAGCGGTTCACCACCCCCTCACGGGTTCGTGTGTTTCGTCTGATAGCCTAGGTACCACGCTCGCTGCAAGGGGTTAAAAACCACTTACGAGTGCTGTTAAAAAGAAATGGAAGTCTCGGCGGGTCGTGCTGTATTGTTCGATCAGATGAATCAGAGCTTCGTAAGAAGGTGAAGCTGATTCGTGGGATTAATTGCTAATTCCTAGGAGAGTCTGAGAAATCAGGCAGCATTATTCTATCGGATCGTTGGTATTGACGGGGGAGGCGCGGTGAGTAGTGCTCTAGTATGATGCCGGTTAGACGGATGGAGTTAAAACGGTGATGGTGGTGAATGGGCCGGATTGGTATTCGGCTGCTAAGTAGGGTGATATGGATGTGATAGACGTGGGATGGCCGGTAGTTGGGTGGTGGGTTATGGTTATTGGGAGGGGGACGAGGAGGAAAGGAAGGGGGACTGGGGAGGGGAGCAGTGGGGGGAATTTTGTTGGGGGCTTTTGATTGCTGATTGTGTGGGATTAGGGGAAGGAAGATCGGGAGGTAGCGGAGCTGAGGAGGGAACGGTACTGCAGAGGGGGTTGAATAGGGGCGGGCTGGCGTTTGGCTGCTGAGTGGGGTAGTT